TAGTCCTTGGGAATTAACATAAATGTTGAATAGTTTTTATTTTCTTTTTCTACAGCACAAGGTCCCACTGTTATCTCTTGAAGCATTACATCATCTGCACATCTTTATCTTTGTCCTTGCGATTGTGCATGTGACATTTTCTTTTCTCACTGTTGTATTTGGAGTGGCAAAGGTGTGTCCTAAGTTGTTTGTCCTTAGCACATGACATTTCAATTTTTCCATCTTCTTCTCCATGTAATTTTCAATCTTAATGTAGATTCGCCAATTGAAGCATTGGGAGGACTGTATTGCTAAAGTTAATTATGATACTCAACAAGGTACGAATTCACCACTCTTGAGAATGTAGACTATAAGATATTTTGTCAATTTTTTTTTTGCCTAAAGTATGTTGCCTTTTATATTTCGCTTCTCATAAGAGCAGTGTTATACATTAGAAGGAGGTTATGTAATCCCGTAGTTAAATTAATACAAGATCTAGCTTCTATCAATACAATCTTTTGTGATTGTTTTATTTTATGATTTGATGACTGTATAAAGAGGATCTGCTGGTAGCATTATAAATTATTTTTCTTCTTGCGCATGTCATAATTACATATATGATGGATGTGCAGTTCTTAAGCCAAGGGTCACCAACGTTCAGCAACATGATTTCATCAAGAAGAGATTTTTGGGCATGGGTAGACTTTCAGCCCTGTTGAGTTGGGTGGTACGTTTAAATCTGTCCGTTATTGGAACATACATTGCATTTTCCTCTCATACCCAATTTCAGCAAATAGAACAAAATGCAAATGGACGGAGTACGTATATGTAGTATCATCAATTCATCACTTGGCCATTTTCCTTTTCCCGAGTGCAGTGGCTGATCACTTTTCAATAATTTTTTCAGCATTCTTTTTTAAAGCAATTTTATGGATCTGTCACCAAGTCAGACTATGTAGCACTCCGTCTGGGTTTCATTATGGTAAGTGCTTAACATATTTTTTTATTTTTTTTTCCAAGCTTAAAACTTCACTCACAAGTAAGTTTACTACAAGTAAATAAGTAAATTTTAAAATAAACAATTTTTTATTGGTATAAATTGGAAATAAGCAACTTTTTTTTTATTTTTACTTAAAAGGTAATAAAAAGGTAACTTCTCCAATCTTGTTTGGAAACTGAAATTTACTTGAAGTAACTTGTACTTACTTTTAAGAGCAAAACATGTTATTTATCCGTGATCTTGAATTCACTTTATTATTCTTCTACATTTTTCTACGTAAGTGATATACGACAAATGTCAAACTTGTCCCTTGCCACAGACACATTGCAAAGGAAACCCAAAGTTTAATTTTCACAAGTACATGATACGCGCTCTGGAAGACGACTTTAAGAAAGTCGTTGGGATAAGGTAAGTGATAATTTAGGAGATTCAATAGTTTAATTTTACTCTCGAAATCCTCAAGTACATATCTTTCTTGTTCGTAGAACAATACTTTTAGCTACTGCTTCTACTTAAAATATGGGTTAATATCTGCTTTTATTAATTGCAGTTGGTACTTGTGGGTATTTGTCGTCCTCTTCTTGTTGGCGAATATCAACGGTACGACCTATCCATTCAACAATTCTGGCAATGTTTCCCTTTAATTTTATTTCTGCTCTGGCAGTGCAACGTGCTATTGGACTTGATTACCTAGTAGCGAATTATGCCCGAATGAGTGGTGCAATTTATATTTTTGGTGCAGGTTGGCATACATATTTTTGGATCGCATTCTTTCCTTTTATTGTGAGTATCACCCAAACTGTTGCCTGATTAATCAGTCTGCCCTTCTTACCGTGCTTTTTTTTAGAAGTCACCATGAAAATGATTCCTCACTTACTTTAATCTTCTGTTAATCTTCTGTTATTTGGTGGATTAAGAAAATTAAAAAACTTGCTTCATTGTTTTATATAATCGCAAGAGGTTCAATTTTTCGGTACTTGGATTGTGTACTGTTAGTTCATGTTCTAGACCCATATAACTTTTATATAGTAGCTTGAGAATTGATTACTTGGCTTAAAATAGTTGTTCTTTTCATTAATGAAATATATACAATGTTGGATATAGCAGTTGTAACGACTTGAGCCTGTTCCGAAGCCGTACTCTTACGTATGGTCTGCTTTGCGTGATATTGCATTCTTACACCAAACCGATAATTTGTACATGTTCAATAACTTACTTTTCAGCTTCTACTTGCTGTCGGCACCAAGTTGGAGCATGTGATTATCCAGTTGGCTCATGAGGTTGCTGAGAAACACGCGTTCATTGAGGGCGATTTGGTTGTGCAGCCTTCGGACAATCATTTTTGGTTCCATCGACCCCACATCATTCTTTTCTTGATTCACTTCATTCTCTTCCAAAATGCTTTCGAAATAGCATTCTTCTTCTGGATATGGGTAACTGGATTCGTTAAATTATCTTTGTAAATGAAATAACCTTTTTCCCATTAATTAAAACCTATTTTTATGTCACCTACAGGTTCAATATGGTTTCGACTCTTGCATTATGGGACAAGTTCGATATATTGTTCCTCGGCTTATCATTGGGTAAATCTACTGTTACCTCTCTCTTTTAACAGCTTTCCAGAAGAATGTCTTTGCTCTTGATTTCATAAATACTGTTTTGAGCATACAAGGTTAAGCTTTAAAAAAAAAAGTTACACTTTTAAGAAACTTTTGTTACAAACACGTAAGAATATAATCCTACTCTTACTTTTAAGTAAATCACTAGTGTGACTCTTCCGTGTCATTCAGTGTATTTATTCAGGTAGTTTGCAGCTATAGCACGTTACCACTCTATGCTCTCGTCACACAGGTAATCGTTCTTCGTTTCCTTGGATATTTCGTTACACTCAATAAATTTTACACGGAAGCGTCTCATTCTTGGTCCGGTAAATGTAGATGGGAACGCATTTCAAGAAGTCTATATTTGATGAGCACGTGCAAGTTGGCCTTGTTGATTGGGCGCAGAAGGTGAAAAAGAAGAGAGGGTTGAAGGCTGCACTTGGTGGCTCTGCTGCTCAAGGTGGTTCGACTCAAGGAGGTTCGTCTGAAGGTACTTCTACTTCGGTAATACAGATGGGACAATTGGGGCACAAGGAGACTACGACCCTTGAGGCCCCACCTGCTAATAATTCTTGAGGAAGAAACTAAATTTTGCACATAAGTTTTGGTTTGTAAAACGACATTAGTAAGGAGGTTCTGGATATAGCCTTATTTTGGACGAGACAAGACAACTGAGAAAATTTGCTTCATGTAATCATGTCTAGTTTTGTTTAGTTCAGCAAATCAAACATGTTTTTTTATCATATAAAAAGATGTGGAAATTAGTGTTCAAAGTTTAGTGTTAATAACTTGATATTATCAAATTTGTATTCAGTAAAATCCAATTATTTAAAATCGAGTCGATCGTCGACCCAAAAAAGGAAGGACTATGCTACTTGTACATAATTTCTTGTACATAAGGGTGTCAACAATCTCACATGGGGTGGACCCCGCATGATTAAAAAAAGAATTTTATTCAAGTTTTGGTTTGTAAAACGACATTAGTAAGGAGGTTCTGGATATAGCCTTATTTTGGACGAGACAAGACAACTGAGAAAATTTGCTTCATGTAATCATGTCTAGTTTTGTTTAGTTCAGCAAATCAAACATGTTTTTATATCATATAAAAAGATGTGGAAATTAGTGTTCAAAGTTTAGTGTTAATAACTTGATATTATCAAATTTGTATTCAGTAAAATCCAATTATTTAAAATCGAGTCGATCATCGACCCAAAAAAGGAAAAGAGTTGAAGGGTTGAATTGGAATCCATCTGGTTATTTTTAAAAGTAAAAAATAATTGAATAAATAAATTTATGAAAAAAAAATAAATCGAAAGATGGAATTTTTTGGTCGAGTTTTTACTCAGTTTTTTTTATAAATTTAAACTGGTGAAATCGGCATTGAGAGGACGACTGTCACAAAATCAACACGTGTCAGCGGATTTTTGGATATTATTTTAAAATATGAGTTTTTTTTTTGTCTAACTCGCCAGACTTTGAGCTATGTTTCACCGAACAATCATGCCACTTTGGTCGACAGATATGTTGATATAATGTCACATATCAGTCTATCATTTGACTGTTTTAAACACTGTCATCATTTTCATTTACCTAAGAATAAGTCAACCTCTATGTTACAATTCATCGGCATTGTGGTTTAATTCATAACCGAATAAATTGATAGATGGGAATGATCCTAATAAAATTGAAATTGACATTGAGTCAACTGGGGGTTTTTGGGTGCTTTTTCAAAAGCCCCGACTTTGCGCTAGTATTTTAATATAGAGCATGTTTAAATTCCATTAAAATGTTAAGAATACATTTTCAAATGGTAGAATGATGAGAATGTGTGATTTTTTTTGAATTTGCATGTAATATTATTTTATTATAGAATAAATGATTAAAAAAGAAGAGGGAAAAATGTATTTAAAAAAAATTGGAAATCAAATAAGCTCAGTTTTTTTTTTTTTTAATTATTATACCCTTATGTACAAGAAATTATGTACAAGTAGTTTTATCCAAAAAGGAAAAGAGTTGAAGGGTTGAATTGGAATCCATCTGGTTATTTTTAAAAGTAAAAAATAATTGAATAAATAAATTTATGAAAAAAAAATAAATCGAAAGGTGGATTTTTTTGGTCGAGTTTGGACTCAGTTTTTTTATAAATTTAAACTGGTGAAATCGGCATTGAGAGGACGACTGTCACAAAATCAACACGTGTCAGCGGATTTTTGGATATTATTTTAAAATATGAGTTTTTTTTGTTTTTTGTCTAACTCGCCAAACTTTGAGCTATGTTTCAACTTTCACCGAACAATCATGCACTTTGGTCGACAGATATGTTGATGTAATGTCACATATCAGACTATCATTTGACTGTTTTAAACACTGTCATCATTTTCATTTATCTAAGAATAAGTCAACCTCTATGTTACAATTCATCTGACATTGTGATTTAATTCATAACCGAATAAATTGATAGATGGGAATGATCCTGATAAAATTGAAATTGACATTGAGTCAACTGGGGGTTTTTGGGTGATTTTTTAAAAGCCACGACTTTGCGCAAGTATTTTAATATAGAGCATGTTTAAATTCCATTAAAATGTTAAGAATACATTTTCAAATGGTAGAATGACGAGAATGTGTGATTTTTTTTGAATTTGCATGTAATATTATTTTATTATAGAATAAATGATTAAAAAGAAGAGGGAAAAATGTATTTTAAAAAATTGGAAATCAAATAAGCTCAGTTTTATTTTTTTTTTTAATTATTATTATTTAAATTTCCAGTAATCATTTGAAAAAGCTTGTCTAAATTATTTTTACAAGCATGCTTGCTCATTCGAACTTCAAAACTTCTTACTTAGCGGGGAAAGGACACTCTCCTGCCAATCTCCCCTCAATGCGCCGTTGTTCGCAGCCGCCGACTACCGTGTCTAAGAAAGAAGACGCCACCGAGAGCCCTACAATGAAGAGGTGCAAACAAGCGAAATCGAAGGCAGAACCCAACACATTAGGCGATATGGAGGACATTAATTTCAGCACAGAGGAAATTCCAGATATTAGGGCTTCTTTACTGAAATGGTACGATGAAAATCAAAGAGATCTTCCTTGGAGAAGAATAAGCAAAAATGGAGATAATGGTGGTATTAGCGTTGAAGAGAGAGAGAGAAAGGCTTACGCGGTTTGGGTGTCTGAAGTAATGCTTCAGCAAACGAGGGTTCAGACTGTCATTGATTATTACAATCGGTGGATGGAGAAATGGCCTTCTATTCATCACCTCGCTAAGGCTGATATTGAGGTCTGAATTTTATTTGATTTTTTGTAGATATTGAATTTCTAAAATTATCTTATTTGATTGTTTGGGAGTTTCTGATGGCTATGTGATACGAGCAGGAGGTCAATGAGTTGTGGGCAGGCTTGGGTTATTATAGGCGGGCTCGATTTTTGCTTGAGGTATGCTTTCTTTCTGTTGCTCGCCCTCACGGTTGTTGTACTCGTTATGTCTTTTGGTGTGCTGTTCTTGGATTTATACTACCTGAATTGTGGTCGATATGTTGATTTATTCACACAGGAGCTAAATAATTTGAGATGATGTTCGAAATAATAATCTTTTTCTAAAATTTGGTTCATAATTCCAACAATTTGATTTTGTGAGAAACAATGAGCGTGCTGTAATTGGATAATATTAAATCTTTTAAATGGTATATACGATTAAAAAAATGATCTTAATTTTCATTCGTAGGAGTTACTGAGGACTTCCAGTAACTAATGCCCTGTGGATTACATATTGCATTTCTGTAATACCAGTAATTGCAACTGTTTTTCATTAAGAATCTGACCGCTGCTACCATGAGTAACTGTGTTTTCCACTCTTAATTCTATTATTTTGGGTGGGATACAATAGAAATTTGCTTCTTCGATAAAAGGGGCTTCAGATAATTTGTTATTGAAGATGGTTTTACTGTTATAGATTTGTTTCTCTTACATATTGGCACATTGTAGCCTTAATGATTTCTATTGTGCTATTAGGGAGCCAAAATGATTGTTGAAGACAAAACTGAGTTCCCAAAAACAGTCTCTTCTCTTCGGAAGGTCAAAGGAATTGGAGATTACACTGCTGGAGCAGTCGCATCTATTGCATTTAATGAGGTTGGTAGTTTAGGCCTTGTTTTGTCTAAATCACAATCTTCTTATGTTACTACAAAAATATAATGCTTGCTATTTAGACAGTGCCGGTGGTTGACGGAAACGTAATCAGAGTGATTGCCAGGCTAAAGGCTGTATCTTCAAATCCAAAGGACTCAAAAACAGTCAAGAATTTTTGGTAAAACTTTCAATTATTATAACAACTTATTGTTTTACATCAATTGATTAGTGGAGAAATAGGATGCCACAAGGATTTCTCATGCATGCAGCAACCATCTCCATTAAAACTAACGCTCATAAGCACCAATGTTTTTGAATGTAAAGGATGTTTTATACTCCTTTCTTCAAAATTTGTCAAATTAACAATACTTAATGAACTATAATACTATTGCTCCAGAAGATATTGTAACTTAGACAATTTCCTTAAAAGTAAATCAATAGATTTCATAAATAGTTTCCACCTTTAGTTTTCAGTGGAAAAGAAAAACTACCATTACAAAGCCTTTATTTTTGGTTTTTAGAAGTCCATTTTCTGCCATTGTTTTGCTCTTATCATTTTTTTACTTTTGTATAAACAGTATAGCATATTTAGCCTGGGTCTGTGCAATGAGAATCTTATAGCATTACTATCATTTTTGGCATGGATATTTCTTCCCCCGAAAGAATTGTGTTTAAATTTGCCATTTTATCTTTCCTCATCATGATTTACATTTCTTTTTCATAGGAAACTAGCTGGCCGATTAGTTGATCCTTCTAGGCCTGGTGATTTTAATCAGGCTCTCATGGAGCTTGGTGCAACAATATGCACCCCTTTGGGCCCCAACTGCTCCACATGCCCGATATCACATCAATGTCATGCACTATTGCTCTCTGCTAAGGACAAATCAGTTCAAGTCACAGACTACCCAATGAAGGTTGTCAAGGCCAAACAACGACATGATTTTTCTGCTGTCAGTGTGGTTGAGATAGTAGAGGGGGATGAATCTCAATCTGACAGTAGGTTTCTTCTCGTAAAAAGGCCAGATAAGGGGTTGCTTGCTGGACTCTGGGAATTCCCATCTGTTCTATTGGAGGGAGAAATTGACTTGGCCTCACGGAGAAAGGCAATTGATAATTTTTTGAAACAATCATTCGGTTTAGACATTAGAAAGTCCTGTAAAATAGTTTCAAGGGAAGAAGTGGGAGAATATGTCCACGTCTTCAGTCACATTCGTCTCAAGATGTGCATAGAATTATTGATTTTGAATCTGAAAGGTCTGTTTACTGGTTGCTCTTCCTCCTTCCCCGATTTTTCTCCCTAATCTAAACTCGAACATGTAAAAGTAACACAAAAACTGACACAAACATTTCTTGTGGACGAATTTTTTTCTAAATTGACATGCATTTGGTTTCTGTTTGGCTTTAAGGAGGGAAAACATGTATGCAAAGAATGCAAGAGAGTGCAACATTGACTTGGAAGTATGTTGATGGTGATGCCCTTTCAAGTTTGGGATTGACATCTGGTGTAAGGAAGGTAAAGTTGCTACTTTGTAGAAACGCTTATTCTTCTTACTCATAGATGTTCCTTCAAAGAGTGTTTACATTTAAAAATTATGCTGTATTGTTATGGGAAAAAATCATCTTGGGCTTTTGATCAAAGCAGAGAATGTCCATTTTGCAGCCAAACATCTTTCTACTTTCTACTTTGCAAAAGATATTACATGCTCAACCATACAAAATTTTGAGAAGTTTTTAGCTTTTCACGTCTTTGCTGTGCCATTGTTTTGCCTCTACCCTTTGTGATGCAGGTTTCCACAATGGTTGAGAAATTCAAGCAGAATAGATCCAATTTTGTCCCTGCAAAAAGAAGAAAGAGACAAAAAGAAAAAACTGCTAATGAAATGGAATGCTAGGTCGTGATATTTGTCAATAGATTAAATTTGCAGATCAATGCTTCATATTCAGGATTGCATCATTTGTAGGCTAAAAACAAGACCATATGCATCGGCATGCAGTTCACTTTGTTCTTTTCAGCACTTCCATTTACATTTTTGTCATGAAGACAAGTGTTACTGTTACTGTACAGTTCATATGCAAGATTGTGAGTTTTCTGCTAATTTAATAACAATTATAACAATTAGCAGTTTCCATTTGTTTGATGGATAGGCGTGCTTTCTTGCTTTGCCGGATATCTTAAGTTCGCTTGTCATTGTGGGCAGCAATTTAACCGCTACTCTAATTCAGCTTCCTACAGCACCGTTTTCAACTTCCATTTTTAGGTGAACTCAGTTAGAACCCATTTCATTCTGTGAAAAGTTTGTGGGAAAACAGCAAGGAGTACATAGAAATGCGACGATCACTTCCTGTTTTTATGTAAATGCTGCATTTTGTTGTATTCTGAGGACGCATAACTTTAATATGATTTGCATTCAAGATCTTATACTTTCAAGATTTCTTGTTTTTGTCTAAACAGTTCAGGATGTTTGATTACACAGGTTATAACTTAGTTGAAAATATCAGAAACAGTCATCCACTGCTCTATACTTTTCTGGAACAGAAAAGACAGCCAAATCTGTGGCCAAACACCAATCTTGGTATTTTTCCCTTTGTTGTAAATTCACTGTCGATTATCTCTATTGTCTAACTTTAGCCCCTGTTTGGAAGGTGTTTAAATTATAATAATTTTGGTCAAATCTACTTTTTCGTTACTTATCAATCATTTATTTATATCTATTTAAACCGATTATTAACACTTACCAAACATGGTTGGGTAACACAAATTGAACACATTCTTGACATATGGCAGTGTATGTTCACGACAAGCAAGCTTCACATTGCACTGCTCGAATTGGAGAGCCAATACTAACATTTCATTAAGTTCAGAAATAGTATAATAATCACCAAATGAGACTGCTGTCAAATACAAACGAAACCTTTTCATTATGTAATAAACACGATCGGCACCTTCACATAATCAGTTCAAGGACAATACTCGACACTAGATATTTAATGAAGACGTTGGTAAATATCTAACATGAATGAATGAAGCTTAACAAAAAAGGGAAACGGAAAAGGAATCAGCTAGAACAAACTACCACCTCATGCATATGAGAAGGGTGATTACCCGTTGTATAGCAGCACGGGATATCAAAACATGTTGATCTACACCAAACAATCATTTAGCGTTTGCTTCATTATCATATCTCTGGCATATGCACGGATATACAGCCGGCATAGATGATTCAAGCTTATCTACGAAGAACAGAAGCCTCTTTAAAATCGACATCGTTCAATACTGAAGACATGCAGAAAAACTGACTCGTCAAAAGCGCATGAATATGTTTGAGATCAACTGTGCATCACTTCTGCAAAAATGGTGCAGGTCCCAGAGGTAGCAGCTCAAAGGTACAGAATTCATGGCAGCATTTAGAATAGCTCCTCCGAGTTAAATTTGTTCCAGGCTTCCTATTTGACACGTCAAACTCAAAATTATAAAAATCCCATGTGTAAAATGACTCGTGCTATCACAGTTTTATTGAAGTTAAAACTGAAATTGGAAATTTTTTAATATAATTCAGTCAATGCCAACCATTGACATTTATGGTCTTTCATATTTCTCAAAACGTGATCTCATGTTATGAGTGGACAATAAGGCACTTTTTATTTCATTAAGAGAGCGGGACACGTCATTCGTGTCATGTGAACCATTCTAAACCTTATAGGCTTGACTGCAACTCTCCTACGCACCTCCACTGCAAGTTCACTATATAAATTATCTAAAAAATTTCCACATACCACATCAAAGTTTACACATATGTTTTCTTTAGCCACAAAGACGAAATCTGCATAAAATGGATCCCGTAGTTCTTCGAGATGTGGTCTCATTATACAACCAAAGTTCTGTTTCCTACTACGTAATGTTGGAGCTCAATACAATATAACAAGGAAAATGATAACCAGCATACCAAACAGTACAGGGATATATACGAGTTCAAAGAAAAAAAACTATAAGAAAAACTCCATAAAAAAAAAAAACCTTCAAGTAATACCTTAAGCAGGTCAAACACCTTCTCAGCAATATACTTTTGTTGGAGAGTGGCACCTTTTTGTTGCACCTTATCAGGATGGATGCAAAGAGTAGCTTTCCTGTATACTTTTTTGACAGAGGCACCAGTAATCAAATCTGTCAATGAAACAGGCTGCCATCCACATTCAGGCCAAAGCACCTAATCATCATGACACAGTAAGAAACCAGTTGACACCTTTAGAACAAATAAAGAATTACAATGCAAACATATCATTCTCAAAACACCAAATTCGATGTTCGAAAGTAAAGAAAACATGTTCAGAACTTCAAAACTAACATAGCAAAAATGGAAGCTGCGCTGCCACTGTCCTATATCATCTAATTAAAAACTGAACCTATGGATCCTTCTATTTTAGGGCATTATCGTCCAAGTGATCACAGGAACAAAAAAACGCGGTGCAGGAACAAAAAAATGAGACAGCTTCAATCTACTGCCAACTTCTATTCTTCTACTATTCTGTTATCTGATGTCAGACCCTCTACCTAAAATTAGCAGGGAAATGACGAACAAGACTGATCATCCATTTCAACTGGGTGGAAATGGACACATTCAGTTCACATGTAAATATTATACAAATCCGGAAGCTAAATTCATTAATGAACTCTATAAGCAAGCAGGAAATTCTAGGATACTTCTAACAGCATGCACCAAAAGCTAGCAGGAAGCTTCCTGAATCACTAATAAAGATATAGAACTAACCTAATAAACAATTACACATGGCAATCACGACTCAAAGATGTAAGTTTCTTACCATCCAGAGTTATGCCAAAAAATGACACGTTGGTATAGTAAAACTTCCAAAGAAACATGAGTAGCAGGTAGGAAATCCCATTTACTATAGTTAAGGCATAAAATAGATAGAGATTAGTGCCTCAATTTTACGCTAAATCAGAAGCATACCACTCAGATTGAAAGCAGTATTATCATGTGGTATCAGGTAAAACATACTTCAAAAAAAATCAAAGATCAAGCAACGCAAAAAAATCCAATGGGAGCCAAAATAATGGCAATCCCAACGCTCCGAAAAAATTATTTTACCTCTGCCTTGTAAGAATCCTTGTTAATTAAAAAAAAAAAAAAAGGGTCACAAACATGTGCAGTGTACCCCACTAGGAAAATGCAATACACTTCAGTTCGATTAGTTCAGACTATTCTCCCTCTGCCTAGGGCAGCCCAAGATACCCTCTACTAATCTGCAGAAGTACCTTGACAATCTCCAGGTCTACTAGACGCAAGACCAGCAGCAATCTGTATTTTGACACCTAAACTTGAGAAAATAAGTTACCTCTAAACCAAGACACATTTTTAATTGCATATAAGAAGTGCGTATCTAAGTAAGATTAAGGACACCTCGCTCAAAATCTTATGAAGTGCTAAACAATTAATGAATGAAAGAAACGGAACAAAACCAGGATCTAAGAAACTGAGACACATATTATCCCCAGAGATCCAAAGCAATAATGGTAAAATAGTACAAAACAGATAATCGGCAAAAGGGTACAGTAGCTGATGAAACAGACAATCAGCAATTGCAGACAATATATATTGATAAAAAAGAATGTAGACTTAGAAGGCATTCTACCATAAGGCCAATACTTCTAATCCTGCTCGTATGTCACTGAAGAAACTAGTATGCAACTATGCATCAGATTTTTATTTATTTTTGAATAAGATGTGAGTGTATACATAATGCAGAAGGTCATTCAACGCACATATTGCAAAGTTGACAGTAGAGCACGCAAATTTCCTTCTTTCCCTGCAGCCCAACGCTTGATTTCAATATCCAATGTTTCAGCGATCCTCTGTACAGAGGAGATCAAGGTTAGACAGATGAAAAACGTTATGAAATGCATTCATATATACTGAACATATTAAGTATGCAATGTGATTTAAGCTTTGCTTAGATCCCAAATTTGTTTTTAACTTGCATGAATTCCATACAACATTATTCCAGTAAGAAGTAGATATAGCTTTAACACTAAGGATGAGTCATAATTAAACTGCAGCAGCATAACATGAACTACAAAACTGAAGATAGAAAATCCATGATTGACACCAAAGATAACTGCAGCTTGTGTTGCCTGATTATTTTGTATTTGGAATCTACACTATATTCTACTTGTGTCATCAACATATACATGCCATATGTTCAGAAAAAAATCGCCCCCCAATGTGTAATAACAGTTGCAAAGAATTACACTCTAAAAACACAAAATACCATCTTGAATAACCCACAAGAAAAGGGCCAGACACAACCTTAAATTCATTTCCTTGTATCAGCAAGAGGAATATTAATTTTTTTAATTCATACTCCAATAATTTGATTTAAATATTTCAGTATCAATTACAAAAAGATCAAATTGAAGAAATATGTCTGCTAAAACTGCAATCTATACATGTATGCATAACATAACTGAAATATGAAATGAACAATTATGGTAAAAATTATGGTGTAGATTACACATTATGAGCTCTCCATAGAATAGGTGATCTACCTAACCCGCTGGAGGGAAACTGGGAAGTGAGTAAACACTAGGTTTATAGTTGAAAGAGCACAAGAATAGAACAGGCCGTCAATTAAAACCAACAACCTTTGCATGCATGTAAGAGTCGGAATTTCCATTAACCTACTGACAAAATGTGTTGGCCGTCAAATTCACATACGCAGATACCATTTTTCTCAAGTAACTTACATGTCTTTCTTCCTGGTCCCTTTGAGCTTGAAGATCGCGCTGGTTCTTTTCAGCAAGTGCTTTAGCCTAAGCATATGGAACCCAGCTATCAATAGTAAGAAGCAAAAATGTGCAATGGAAGATGAAGAAACTACATAATGCTCATTGATCTTCAAACCAGAGAGGAAAAGAATATAATATGACACAGCATAAACACATACCGTCCGCTCTTGAGTGCGTTGGTGGCGTTCAAGTCTGGCTCTTCTTCTTTCTTCAGTTTCCCCTTCAACCTCGTGGAATGCTCCAGATGATTCAGCAGCTACAAAATGAAAGCGAATGAGTCAGAAAGAGAGAGAGAGAGAAACCTTTCAATATTATGGAAGGAAATAAACAGTGGCATACCTCCAAAAATAGAAGATAGATCATCAACGATATTAGTAGCAGAAGAAGCTTTTCGCATATTGGAGGCCCCACTAGAAGATGTCCTCATTGCAGCTTCAGATCCTGCCTTGTTCTGGAATTGCTGGTTCAACACAGGATCCTGAGAATAGTAATCAAACAAAGGAATAAACACAAAACTGATGGACAAATTCCTACTAATTAAACAAGACTCATGAACTTATAGCATTGTTTTGGCATAAACACTTACAACCGAATCTGTTCTGGCCCTAGGTACACTGCTTGCTCGAGATCCCATGCTGAAAAAGGATTCCAGATCGTCATCTTTCTTTTGTTGGCTCATCTTTGCAGCAGCTGATGCCTTTTCACGCGCTTCTGCAGCAGCTCTTTCCCTAGCCTCTGCTGCAGCCCTTTCAACAGCAGCTCGTTCTACTCGACGCCTTACCTCAGCTTCAGACCTTGCAACTGCAGCTTTTTCCCGTGCTTCTTTCTCCCTTGCTTCTGAAGCAGCTCTTTCTCTAGCTTCTGCAGCAGCCTTTTCAGCTCTTTCTCTAGCTTCAGCAGCTGCTCTTTCACGAGCTTCAGCCTGAGCCCTCTGAACTGCTGCTCTTTCAGCACGTCCTCTGGCCTCAGCATTTGCCTTCTCAACAGCAGCCCTTTCAGCTTTTGAGCGAGCTTCAGCAGCAGCTCTTTCACGTGCTTCCCTGGTAGCCCTTTCTACAGCCTGTCTAGCCCTTTCCCTTTCAATCTGTTTGGCTCTTTCCCTCTCCCTCTCAAGTCTCCTTATTTCCCTCCCTTCCTCTTCTGCCTGATTCCTTTCACGCCCTAATTTCTCATGGTTTTCCCTAAATTCTCTCCCCAGATCATCTTGCTGGACATCATTTTCCAGATGCACAGGTTCCTTACTTCTAGAAGCCTTTGCGTATTCTCTTTCGCGTACTTCCTTAGCATGTCTAAATTTTGCCTCAGCTTTATCCATAGCATCCTTCATGGCAGCTGCAGATGCAGCTGCTGCAGAGGTCACATTACACTCTTCACTAGCATGAAAACTGGCACTTTCATCAACACTGATATGGGACTTACCCATGGCAAAATCATCAAGTTCATCCAACTGTGAAACTGGAGGGCTATTGGCCGCAGGTTGAGCAAGCTTAGGATTTTGAAAGTATTGATTATAACTCGGGGGAGAAAAAAATTCATCACCCTTCTTTCTCGAATTTGAAGAGTAGGAGCCAGTTTCTGACTTTGAAGTTTGACGAGGAATTGGTGGAGGTGGTCGTGAAGGGGGTGGAGCACTAGTGGGTTGAGTAAAAAGAGGAATTTCTGATACGGTAAGCCATACGTCATCCGATTGCCGTCCCTGCTCATCTGTCGACTGAGACACATCGACCTGGGAGGTTGTTTCGTAGTATGGAGGAGCAGTCGGACCAAAGGATTTATGAAAATGTGATGAAACGTCTGGCACATCAAACAAGGGAGGTTCCTGAAAACTGTCAACAGGAACCTTCTTCTCCACATCGCTGTCCAAAAATATGTAAGAAGACTTCCCGGTCTGCTCTCTAACACTAGAAGATACCGGTGTTCCTGATCTTGAGGGGCTCCCCCCGTTATCCCTCCCAGGAGAAAATGGATTGGAATGACCAAAGGATTTATGAGAATGTGATGAAACATCTGGCACATCAAACAAGGGAGGTTCCTGAAAATTTTCAACAGGAAACTTCTTCTCCACATTGCTCTCCGAATATCTGTTAGAAGACTTCCTGGTCTGCTCTCTAAGACTAGAAGATACAGGTGTTCCTGATCTTGAGGGGCTCCCGTCCTTCCCTCCATTATCCCTCCCAGGAGAAAATGGATGCACAGGTTTTCCAAACCCATTAAGGGGATCTAAGTCATCAAATACTCCCTCGCTACCAGAGGATGCATCAGCCCTTGTACTTCTAGATTTACCAAGATTACCAATCTCCTCCAGAGGATCAATAAATACTCCAGACGATGATCTGGGAGTTGATGTTGATTCCATAACTACAAAAGGATCTTCCATCACATTTGAAGTTGTATTCCCGGTTGGAGTGGATCCTCGATTTGACTCTGACATTGGCCTGTGCCAAAAAAGAAAGGACGCTGAGCTAATTATCCCTTTTCTTTTCATAACCCAGATTATGGGGAGAAGAAAAAAACACAAAACTTTCACATGCTCAGTTTACATAAATTGCAATCAAGAAGAAAGGACAAAAATGGCAGAACACCACGATATTACACATCAGAAAAGCATTTAATAATTCAATCATCTCGAACCATTATTATTCCTAGAAACTTCAGTATCAATAATATTTTGTATTACTGCAATCCATATTAGAAGCCACTTTAATTTTGGAGATGAAGGATATTTAGAAAGATTTGACACAAAATGTCATTAGTAACCAATAAGTGAATGACGAAACGATGTCGAGCAGAAAAGTATAGCATAGGTGTATACAATTGTGAGCCAGAAAGAGGAAAAAAATAAGTACATTAATTCAAAAGAAGAACCACAGGATCTGAGGATTTTATGACCCTAAACTGTTCTAAATTGCTATTAAGGGATTGCTTATGATCGTATAGGATGGCGCACAAATAGTAGAACCTAACTGATCTGAAATGTTGACTATTCTTCTCATTTATATGCTTTCAAAAGCAAAACTCTAATCACCAGAAATATATACAATTTATATAACTTTGAAATCTAGTTAGCACTTTTTCATCCCAAAATAGATTACTATCTATATGCGTAATATAGTTGCAAATTAATCAACAAACTAACAGTGATAAATCATTTTATAAGAGTTGTACTTCGTCGCTATATCTTGGAGTGTAGAGACTAAGTCCCTGTTTGGCACTTTTTGAGTATGTGCATAATCCTTAGAGAAAGAGAATCATTAGACATTTAAATTTGTCTCCAGTAATCTAACAACTATTAGCTTTTGCTGTACTACGGTCATCTCAATAAACCATTAAAGCGATCAATAAATATCATGATTAAATCAACTAATATACCAAAACAAAAGGAGTCTGGAAAGTGGATACAAAAGGGCGATTACCACATAGATTTTCTAATTATTAACATACAGCTTTTTGCTTCAAACTAGACAGGTGATATAGAAGAGCAGAAAGTAATCCGGCAGAGCAATTTTCAGTAAAGAACAATTATGCTCCTAAGTTCAAATTCATTTACTTGTGCTCCATGGACATATCAATCCATCATTCTCTTCTGCACTCACAAACTCCACAATTACCAACAGCAACATCATCACTTTCAATTTCTCAATGATTCATGTGCCCGAGTTTCTCAACAGTAACAACTAATATGGTGGCTCATCCAGAGCTCAATATCAACATTAGGTAACCAATGAGACTCAATTGCACAAGTTTTAGAAACTAGAAATAAATTAAATTAATTCTTGATAAAGGTTACTAAACAGTTTTTTCAGATTTCGTTGAACAAGAAATTTCAAACTGTAATTCATGTGCTAGGCTCATATGGTTGGTAATGAAGGACGTAGTTATCAGGGTGGAGAAGGGGTGGGTAGTGTTTACCAACTGGATCGAGGTTCTCTGCTTCATAGTTTCAATTCCATCTGCAAGCAGCTAACTCCTAATTTATGGCGAGCGAATGTTGTGAAATAAATGATAAGATTCGATTCTTGATGTAGAATTGCAGTGTGATAGATGTCACAGTCAATCCAGTCCATGTGTGTTCAGCGCATATGCGTGTTATGTCTAAAGGAATAATTTCGTGAAAATGGATTTTCATAAAAAAATGTATGGCAGAATAATTACCCCTCTAGCAATATCCCTTCCTGATATGAAGGGTTGATTATCTTGAATAAATGACCCATGCAATATGACATTCTGCATGATGCATGGTATGAAAAAACCCTGCTGAGGCCCGCCTCATTGTGAAGCGCAGCTTCTGTGCCTCGAGGCTCAATCTGTGAGGCACAAAAAATGAGACGCACGCCTCTACATCTGAGGCAAAAAAAATTGAGATGTGCGCCTCATTTGAAGTATATTTTTTTCAAGTTTTTGAAAAGGAATTAAAAAATGCCCTTTTTAAAAAAGAGAAGGGCCCTTTAAAAAGATATTTTGGGCCAAACAAAATATTAAAATATCTAGAATACCAAAAGGCAGCCAGAAATCTTTCTACACGGCAGACAGAAATCTTCCTAGGTGGCCAGAACTACACAGCAGTCAGAAATCTTCCCAAAACTAAACAGCAACCAGAAAATTTATCTTCAATCATTCGCTTAAAAGAGGTCCTCAAGTGCTACTTCTATGTCTCTTTTCTCCTTTACTTCTGTCTTCTTCAAGTGACTTACAATTTAAAATTGTTTCACTAGACTTTACTTGGCTTTTTTGTTGTTCAGTGCATCGTCGCCAGATTGCACCTATTTTGTTCGGCAGATTCCACTTGTTTTGTTTGTGGTGAAGCTTACACCTCAAAACGTTTTGAGGCTTACGCCTCGCCTCATAACAAAAAAAGGCCTCGGTACCTGCTTACGTTTTTTCAAACTATGGTATGATGTTCTTCTTTTTTAAATAACTTGCTGATTGGTAATATTTTTTACATTACAGGCAAATTATTTTTTGGAAAACCACCAAAGAGGCATAGCCAATTTAAACAATTGATAGATTAAACGATGACATGTCACATAACAGACTAACAATATGTCAAGTGCATCTACTCCACTCCCAAAAACAATTTAAAAATAATAATAATAATCTTTCAATTAAAGATTTCTCATCAAAGCGTGCATTGATTACAGTAAACTAGAATTATTTACAAGATATATTAAAATGAGAATATATAGTCATTTTCTTTCCTTTTTGATAACTATAAGCGATTTCTTCATATATTCAATTCTTAAAAATTCTTCTTTCCCCCAATCCTAATAAACATTGTAGTTATTAATATAATACAGTATCTTATGATTTTACATACACAGGAACCTGATATTAGAGACAGCAAAGAACCTAACAACAGAGCTTGAATGCTCGGTACTAAATCGTGACAATCAGCACATGGAACACCAGACAATAGCTTTGATACACGTCACCGTGTGACCAGTAGAAATTTTGAATTTGAGGGAAAACAAAATGAAGATTTAGAAAATTCCTTTAGCTCTAATTATAGGCTTCATATTTTTGCTACCGCGAGTAACATTAAAGCTTTCTTCATAATAGTAGTGAAATGATGGTGGAAAAGCAATGTCTTTGAAAATTGACCCACTAACATTAAATCGGGGTAGAACCACTAATATATTTAAATATATGAATATACCGGAAAATTTGGACTAAAATACATAATTTTAATTTTGAATTATACATATAGACAAAATCACTTATTAAACTTGATGCATTTAATTTTATCATGTCCACTTCTAATATCAGTGGAAAATAAGACACCACCACAAAAATATAAATAGTTGAGTCTTTAAAAATTTATATGGGATTATAATGTGCTCTCAAAATAAAATTAAATGAGAAAATTAGAATATAAAAATAAATCAAGAAAAAACTATCCCACCTCGTTAAACAAATACACCGTCAATTGTTTAAAGGAAGGAATCCCCTTTATAGTAGAAAAAGCTGTCCCGCATAGATTTCCTTGAACAGAAGGCTGGAGAAATGTAAAAGGTATGGGTCAAGAATGAATAATGCATCCCTTTTAGACCTTTTATTGCTCCGGAGCTTGGGCCTAGAAAAGAGATTTTTCCCAAATTTTGGAAGAAAATGCCAACCGCTTAAAACGGTAAATCCGCTGCTCAAAACGGTAAATCCGGTTGCGAGTAACTGGTTCACAGTTATGCCAGCCAGCTGGCCGTATTTTTACCGGTCTTAAACTATACTGTTTTTGGGCATCAACAGAACTAGTTATTATTTCGATCGGAACGGCTGGTCCAATCCGGTTTTCAGAACATTGTGGAAGTTTTCCATAGTGCTTTGCTTACACCCACTAAAACGTCTTCTTGAAAAATAGAAAACTTAATTTACCAAAAAAGATTTGCAAAAGAGACCATAAAAGACTCGCACACTTTCTACATCATATTGAGCAGTGTTCTAAAAAGCGTAAAGCATAGCTAGGCGTGGAGGCCAAGCTTTAAGCTTTATGAGCCTAGGCGGCTTAGGCGTAAAAAAACGTTTTTTATTTTAAATTTTTAATCACTGTAAAAAAATTCAATAATTCAAATAATACATACTAAACATCTAAAATTATAAAATACTGTATTTACTTAATAATTCCTACATAAAGATAAGTTTAAAAATCATAATTACATAACGTAGATAACTTGTAGCTTAAATCTTATCTAATCTAACTTTTTATCGGACTCCAATTCAATATCTTCTTCTTCATCTAATTCGTCATCCGTATCGTCCGATACAAAATCATCATTCTCGGGCTCCCTTATTTCATTTTGATCATCTCTTGTACCTCTTGTAAGTTGTAAGACATCATTCTCCACCCTATCATTCTCCTCCTCACCCTCATCATCACAACCCTCTACAATCCAAGATTGTGCATTAGTAGCATCATTGGGTGGGTTGTATTAAAAAAAAAAAAAAGGAAAAAATTGGGCCCCCTTAAAATCTGGGCCTGAGGCGGAGGGACGCCCAGGCGAGCATTAAGCGGCCAACATTATCGTTGACCACTTAATTTCCGTTTAGGCCCAAGGCGAAGCGTTTTCATCACGCTTCCTGCCTAGGCGTCGCGCTTTTTAGAACATTGATATTGAGAAGACAACATAAATAAATCAATGTGTACCCTCTCTACTAGCTCAAAATTTAGATGAGATGGTTGAAGGATCAAAATCATGTAAAAGATTTGAGTTCAAATCTCGCAACCACTCATTTGTAAAAACAAAAAACTTTAAATGTGAGGAGGAGTGTCGAAAACACATTTCAAATAAATCAATGTTCGTCTTGTTTAAGAGCTTAAACTTTTAGATAACATGCTTCACTTTTCTATTATCAACCACGCTCTTTCGAATGTTTGGGAACTTGCTTCAAAAGGTATTGTAACTGTGTAGACATTTCACATTTGTGAACTTTGAAAACCTCGTTGATGGAAATTTGAAGAGACAAGTTGGAGCGTCTTGATCAGTATGCTCAATTTTTAGTTAAATAAAAATACAAAGGAAAAATAATAAAAAGCAAAAATTCAATGGGATATCTGAAAACGTTTAATTTAAAAAACAAACCACCAAATGCAGAAATATCATAACATAGTTAAAAAAATTCTGGATATTGGCAAGGATTAAAAGGCGTGACTGAGACGGGCCTCACTCTGAGGCGTGAATTTTTGGGGGGCAGAACATGGCTAATGCCTTTAGTCGAGGCACACGCGCTCACCACAGTTATCATTTTTATTAGTCGACTTCACTGGAGACATATTATAATTAATTTAGCTAACTTCATTGATTATTAGCCATTTATCATTGGAACCAATTACATATCAAAAACCTAATAATTTCTTTGATTATATATTAGTATGCCATAAATAAAAACACGATATAATTTCAAACACACAACACGTGTAAAACATCAATGCTGTGACCCTAGAACTTCATCACTCTGGTGTAAAACAATGACATCAACCTAGAACTTTAAGTCGTTATATTGTTTTGAGAATTTAATGTTTATGGTTTATTACGTGCTTATCTTTGACATTTTTCCAACGATATTGGCCAACGCATACATTGGATCTCTAATAGGACAAATGACAGAAAATGTGAAAACTTTGCCTACTGACATTTTCACTGTCATTAAATGCATTACTTCTTTCTGCACATCTTCTTCCAATCATGCGGAAATCCTCGACATCTAAAATATTAACAGTTTCATGATTAGCATGTCCAGTGTAAAATATTTTCCAATTAAATGCGAGCCATAAAATTACGCTAACAAAAGAGTAAACATATAAAAGATAGAGCAGCTAAAAAACCAGTTATTTCAGCTCTAATCTAGAAATTCAACATAATATTCCAACCAAATAACAAAAGTACCTGTTGCTACTGGCAGGAATGCCACTCCCAAACCCAGGTAGCAAATCATCGAACCCTCGAGAAGTAGAGCTGCTCTTAGCATTACTGCTCTTGTTAATGCTCTCCCCAAACTTGTCATTTCCACCGAAGTTCCCCAACAAATCATCAAAAGCCTTCTGATTCCTGCTCTTTGTGGACGGAGGCGATGCAATTGATGCGAACACATTATCATCAAATCTGACCGATGAAGTACCCAGTTTGCTCTTCAACCCCGGTAAACCATCAAATATATCATCATCGTCATAAACGGGCTTATCATACACCGGAAAGGACGACATCTTATTACCACCAGTATTACTGTTCGAAATTTTCGATTCCGACTTAAAAATCGATTCATATTCAAAATCACTCATTGCCGACTTGTTACTACTATTATTTGAACTTGAACTCGAAGTATACTTAGGAGGCCCACCAAATACATCGTTGAACAACATCCCATCTCGTTTCTGATCGTCAACAGATCGGGCAGGGCGGCGATCCGCCTGGTCGGATCTCATCGGATTCGATTTCCCTTGAGGCCGGAACCCAAAATCCCGTGCCAACACATCCAGGTCATCCATTTTGAATCAAGGGTTTCGATTTGCTGCAGATCTGGACGAAATTAACGGGCAATTGAGAATCCAATGGATCAAGGCAAAAAGAGTGACTAGGTTATGATTGATTATTCGATTAACAGTAAAAGATCATGGAAATTGTATAAATGGTTTGTAATATAGTAATTGAAAGTATACGCGCAGAATAGGTGGATTTGAATAGTGTTCTGGTTATTACGAGAAATATAGAGAGAGGACAAATTTTGATGAGGGTTTCTCTCTCTTATGTCTTTGTTTCCTTCTTCGTCGTCGTCCTCCCTCTCTCGGCGCTCCATTGTCTCTTTAGTTTCTCCATTTTATCTTATTTTTGTTTGATTTGCAAAAAAGACCTTCAATTATTGGTAAATAATTATTCCATCCTTGAAGTTTTCTAAATTAGTTCCCACTTTTTCCTTTCTTCTATTCCTATTTTGACCTTTTGCAACATAGCATTTGTTGATTTTTTTATTTATTTTTTCTCTCTTTCTGTCTAGTTTTGCAATAAGGCATATGTGCCCTTGTATTCTCCTCTCTTTATTTAGATAAATTAGATTTATACATAACATATATAAAGGATAGTCTGATGCTCAATTGGATCGAGATATTTATTCATTACCCTTTATACATTTATTTCACTTATGAAAAACAACTGCACTTTTATGTTAAATTATTGATTAAATTAATCAGCTACAACTCAACCGTAAGTATTACATGTAAGATGCCAATAGAGTTGAAAACTAATCATTACTCTTCGTACATTTATTTTACTCACGCGAAATAACTAAGGTGACAATGTGTTGAGTGACACTCAAGCTCAACTCGACCTTCTGGACGAGCCGAGCTGAGCTTCGCTCGTGGACTTTTATAATCGGTTTGTAGACCTCACGAGTCAAGCCGTCCACTAACCTGCCTTTTTTTTTGTATTTTGAAACAAATTAATAAAATAAGCACAAAAAAGAGATTTTTTTTAAAAATAATAATATAACAAGTTTAAATAATAATAATAATAATAATAATAATAATAATAATAATAATAATAATATCCAACCCATGAGCCCAAACGACCTGGCATGTGAGCTCACGTGCTCACACCAACAGGCTCCGCTAGAAAAAAAATGGGAGCTTGACTCTGCCTCGTCTCAAAACGAGCCCGAGTAGCCCATATACCAAACTGGGATGAGCCGAGCGTGCGAGCCGCTCGGTTCGTTTGCCACCCATAGAAACACCACTTTACTTCCATACGGTTTTGCTGAAGCCGGACAAGTTGACATACGGTAATTCATCAAATCCCCAGTCTTCAACAAGATTTAACATAAAAGAACTAGTACTCAAATACAAAATCTTATCTGAGATAACTGTTCAATCCTAAGATATTGACCTCGGAATTCCTATGGACTGTGAAGGTCTGAATATTTTTATAATAGAAATAGATGTAACAGTTTCACTATAAACAGATGATGTCCACTTCGATTTATCAGTTATGGTAGTTCTGGCATTCGCCGGTCGAGTATGCACCATTACTTGCTGAAGATTTATCTGAATGCACCCTCCTGTAGAATAGCACGTAAGCAGCAGCTGATTTGACATCTTCTTCATTGATTACTGATATGTGGCTGTCGTCGAAGTTGTACCACCTATTTTCATCAAGAAGCTGCATACGACAGATTTGAGGTAGAACATTAGGAATCTATACTCAGCATGATGTCAGGAATATTAAAACAGTACTGAAAGGATATGGCACACCTTAATATGTGCTGTATAGTGCCCACTTCCCATGCCACCGTAATGATTTGTCAAGGCATAGAGTTCATAGATCTGACGCGGGGTGTTCTTGTTGGCTATGTAGTTAGTCACATCGAAGTCATGAATTGGAAAATTTACAAATGTGTCTAGCTTATGCTTTATCGATCTGCTGTAAGAGAACCTTTTAAGATGAATAACCAGCACTTCAGGAAGCCTCCAAAGATCCAGCTTCTTGCTTGCTTGGCGCCTCTCCTTGCATTGGGGACAATACCTTTTCACAAAGATAGGCAAATTAGATGTTACTTAACGAGATAAATGTAGAAAACTGACCCATCCTGGCAAATAATAAAAGAAGAATCTCACCACATGTCTTCAGGGACCAATGGCTCTTCACGTAGAAAAGCTTCCAAACAAGTGTACAATGAGAGAGGTTCAGTTCGAGCTTTCTTGTTTACATGCCCATATTTACAAACTTCTGGCAAGGTTTCTAAGTGGCTGGTATCGTAACTTCCCAAAAGCTTTTGTGACCAATCAGCAAATACAAGGATCGACATAGATGATGATGACAACTTAACCACCTTATCCTCACCAACAGTTAAATCTATGCAAGCATTATTTTCATCAACCAACTGCAGCGGAAGTTTATGGAAGGTCACTGGTTTTAAACTGCCACCGTAGGATTGTCTCGCATTGGAACCATCTGAATCGGCACAAAATTCAGTAGATCTAGTGGCATGAAATTGATTTGATGTTGCCAGGGGTGCATTAGAACAATTAATACCTGGATATTCAGTGTTATTTTTTCTTAACATGGGCGAGAGCATTTTGTTTACCATCAGCTGGATATCACCTCTAGTTATAGTATCATCACATGAGATGGGAGAAACAAGAGGGGTTCCGTAAGGCTTCCACCCCATAGTGCTCTGAGAATTACCAGCGCCCCTAAAAAACATAGAAAAGGAGAAAAAACATGGGATTATCTTAAAATAGCCAGTGAAGCACTTAGAATTACACGCGAGGAATAATTCTGCTTACTGTTCTCCCCGGCGGTGTATCAATTGAAGAAACTTAGTTTTCTTCAAAACTTTTGGTATCTTGTAGGCAGCAAGGTGGTCGTCGTCTTTTATGGAAGACAGCGATATCAATGGATCCTCCAAAAATCGGTAAATCAAGTGGCCTCTTATCTACGAGCAACACATGAAGACAATTTCAGCTAGAAGTTTTGTAAATAAGTGTTTCAAAGAATTGCTAGATTTACTCTGCAGACCTCTGCAAGCAGGAGCTTTTCGTTGAGTTGCAAAGAACAAGCATTGCTCAGTGCTTGGATCAAATCCCTGCAACGTCCCTGCTTTGGAACACTTACAGTGCAAGCAGCTGGGAGGGCACTTCCGTCGCAAGTAAAAACAGTTACCGTCATACTACGAGTGATGGTGGATTGAAGTGGCAAGGAAAGATACATGAATGGATCAAATGTAACTGAGACTTTATTACAGGCAGGACAGACCAGGGTTGATTTGTATTGCCCCTGCAAAAATGTGATTTGCACGTGAATTCCAAAACAATGAGAAGGTAAAAATTTGGTTTTCCTTGATCGAGTACAGACATGCTCTAGTCTCATTATGAATTCTCTTTTTCAAATGCCTGCGATGACATGTTTCAGGGAATCTGATTTTCCTTGACAATGATGTACGGTTGATTTTACCAAATGTTGTGTGGAAGATTATTTTCTTCCTCCAGGTCCAGCAAAATCACTGCTCTTCCAACTCTTCTATAAACAAGTCAAATGCAGTCTTCTCTACCATTAACTATGAACAAACTATGCAGTAAGATGAAGATTTCAACAAAGTGGATAGAAATGAAATAAGTCATTTCCAGAGGCTATAGGCCATACTTTAAAATTGTAAAGGAAAATTATAAGGTATTCAAGCGAGAGAACATCTTGTTCCATCCTCTTTCCCCAGTATTTTTCAACAAAAAAGATAATTTAAATTGAATTAAAATAATACATTAAAGTCTATATATGCCACTGGTTTTCTGACTAAGCAATACAATTGTTGATATAGGACAATCCTATTGTAAATAGGCTAAAAGTTAAATATTTATAATAAGATATCTAGTTGTAATAGGTTTTATCTTTTTATTCTTATTTCTTGTTTAGAATCCGATTTCTTTTCTTTATTGGTTAGAATATGATTTCTATTTTCTTTTAGATTAGAAACAATATTGGAATAATATTGCTTGCATATATTGAATAATAGTCAATGCGATAAAAAAAAATAAAAAAAGTGTGCACTGCCTCTATATTTATATTTATAGGCAAAATTATTAATTAATCTTACTAATATAAGGAAACTAATATAAAATCCTAATCTAAAAGAAAATACAAATCCAATTCTAATCAATAAAGAAAAGAAATCATATTCTAAATAAGAAATAAGAATATAAAGATAAAACATATTACAACTAGATATCTTATTATAAAACTTTTATCTTATTTACAATAGGCTTGTCATACATCAATTGTATATTTAGCATTGTATGCATGCACTAGACATTGGCAGAATTTCATACAGCTAAGCAGTCCAAAGGGGTCGTTCCAACAATCGCTCACCGTGCAATAAGAACAATGTATATCAAATAAAAGTTACTACATGCATAACAGAAATCACTGAAGAATACTTTAGCTCACCTATAAATGGAGTTTAACTACTAAGGAAATAAGCATTTCTATTGGGTATTTAGCAACAATTTGGAGATGAGTGAAAGGGGCCCCAGAATGGTACTGCTGGTTCATATTTCAGAAGTCCCTTGATTACTGTATTATGTATTTCCAGTTATCACAAAAGTTTCCTGAATTAATCTATGAATGACCTCATTTCTTAGATGATATTGTTTTCAAATCCAGTGGGGTAAATGAACCGAATTAACAAAATGGCCCCAAACAAAAAACATACTCAGAAGTCTATGTTAAAAGGGCTTAGACACAACATTATACTATATAAAGCAATGATAGACAAACTAGGAGCATCAAATAGCTACGACTCCTCTATACAGCATGAGTAACTAAAAAATTATATATAATTATTCCAAAATCTTAGTTCTATAAAATCATCACTGTGATACTTACTTGGCACACATCCACAATTATGGAATCATTACGAGCAATGTGATTTGCCCAATACTCATCAGCAACTTCTTCATCAGGTCGGCCATCTGCATCTCTAGATTTGATATATGGTTTGTGTTTAACACGATTTAAATCTTCATGAAGTCCATCTAACAAAAATGCGAGGAGCTCCTGCATAGAAAAAGGTAATTATTAAAATTCTTAACTCCACCAATTAACATCAGCTTGGAGTCCTGAAACTTCATGCGAAGCACTAAACCTGAGAATCATGTTGACTGCATCCACTAAATTGTGGTGCAAAGCGAGCAAGCTTTGCTTTGAATGACCTGGGGGCAACTGGAGTTCGCCCTGGTGCCCACAATTTTCTAAGCAACTCGCCAAATGCTAAAGCAAGCTCACCCTGCATATTAAAACAATGTCAGAAAAATTAGAACATCTTAAAAAATCAATCATATTTACAGCTCAAAGCACTATAGCAGCTGACTTTCTAGCATTTCATATACGTCATTAACAAGAGAAAAAAGTCAATTCAAAATGCCAGGCACGTGCCTCAAAACACACTGCAGCTAGTGAAATGCCCAGTCCAAGACTAGTTTCATGTAAACTAAGGTTTGCCACTTAAATCTCTGACCAAAACCCTAATTTAGAACTCTATGATCTGCCTAGATGGAATGGACAACAGCGGATGTATCTACTAAAATTGCTGGAATAAAGGAAGCTTTAATTGCACAACTTCTTAAACTGACAAAGCCACCAATGGCTGGTCATCAAAGTTCGACTAGCTTTTTGCATGATTTGAGTATAAGACCTTCAATTACTTCTATATTAGAGAAACAATCCCAAGTCACGTAACGGGTCAAGGCAAAAAGGATAAAATAAGACGACTTCCTTTTTTAGTGCAATAGAAGAGATTTATTATTCTTTTATTCATACCATTAATGTTCATAACATCAAGCTAAGTTGAATAATCCTGCAATATCTAAAAAGTACGGACATAACTTGTAGGTATCAAGCAACCTAGTCACCGCATTTGGCTTAGATAAATTATCATTTGAGATCAACCCATCAAGCAGAAAACAAGAAAAAGGGAATTCTACAAGCCTCAGCAGTGTTTTTGCAAGAGCAACATGACACGCCAGGTGACATGAAAAAGAACAACGGAATTATTTGCCTGACAGAACAAGCCATCATTTTGATGTATTCTTCTACAATATGACGATGACACTGCTCCCCCATATAAAAGCAAGTAATAATTTCATCAATGTCACGAGTGTAACTTACAACCATGCCCAGAGGGTTCTGACGGTTTATTTCTTGATGATAATCGTCTCGAAAATATCGTGCAAATTCAGGGGTATGAACAAGACATTGTATTGCACTGTTCATAAAGCAAGTATTTCCAAGATTCAACAGTCCAGTGAGACCACAAGAAGACCCCCTTGTACTAACGCCACTCGGTCCGTATGCCTTCTCAACATTTGTATTCTGCAACAACTCTGAATTACCATTTCTAGATGAATATTTGTTCACATAAAGACCTCCAGCAGGTAATGAACTAGACTGTGAAGCAGCAACAGCTAAGGCTCCATTGTCTGCAGATCCATTCTCCTGAACTGGACCCACGCAACCACCAGTGTCACTATTGATAACCTCCACTAAAATCTGATTTGGGTCATTGCACAACAAAGGAAATGTGGAATGTCAGAACAATGTACAGCATCACATAATATAAGATAAAGAGCACTATCCCTATAGATCAGGCAAAGTCGTCAATTGAAAGAAATAGTGAACAACAATTTACTAACATAAGTATCTCTCAATCAAGTAAACCTAGCCAAATGTATTTGGGCAAACAAAAAGAAGAAATTTACTATTAAGTGGCAATAATTAACTCTGTACACATAATCAAACCAAGAAACTAGGGAAGAGAGTTCAAGAACAAGTAAACAAAGTCATCGAGTATTACACTAAATAGTACGACAAATGTATGATGAAACCGATAGGTTAGTAGGACAACTATAATGCCATATCACTAACCCTTTTGATACAAAAGCAGGATAGGTTTCTATATACTGAAAACTGATTATAACAGATTGACTGAAATAGAGATCAAATGCATATTTGTTTCTGGCTGAATGAAGTCATGTTCATAATAATTATCAAAATCATTTCCTTTTACACTTCTTTGTTTTACGACAAGTAGGCCTTCTACGTGCATGGAAGCACAGGCAGTAATCTCCATTTTTTAGTTACTGAATGTAAGCGGAGTCCATCAGATGATATAACAAGAAAAACAGGCACCGAAGAAAAAAAAATGGTGCAAATTCTGCAATCTATCAGGAAGAAGATATGAGAAAAAGGACACTTCTCAGCTTAATCAGAACTTGATTTCAAACTGAACAAGACCTTAATATACAATCAAGGAAATATAGAAAACCAATGGTAAACAGATGAGATTGAAAGGCACCAGGAATCAGAGATTCTTGGAAACTTCAAACTTTGAGTTTCTCAAAAATATCCAATAGTGGCAATGGAGAATAGCTCATATGTCACTTAATTCAGCAGTGAATTGGAATAGCCAAGAAGGCCGCAGTAGATTTTTAAGGCAGATGTTGCAAGCTCCTCCAGCTGAAGGTGCAAAAACAGGGCTAATGGGGGGTCACCAATCCCAAGGGCAAAGGATACATGATATTTCTCCCTTTCAAGAATCGTATAAAAAGGCCACCCTTCTGAATCCCTACCCACAACACCCCCACAAAAATAAATGAAAAGGAATTACTGATATCTTAAACCTTACTCCATTGCATGAAATAATAATCTCACAACATAAGTTACTAGTCAAAACAAAAATTATGCAATAGACAATGATAATATTATTAATAATCAATGGGAGAATAATTTCATGCACATATGAAAACTTGAATTTCTATTAGAAAACTCTTGACATCTTGGCAACCGTATAGATAAATTAGAACATCAACAAGTGAGTATGACTAATAACGATGAAAAAAGTATGTGAGTCAGTTCAAAACCGGATACCATATAACAGCTCTGCATAAAACCAACCTAATTACAAGAAGCGATACTGTCCTGCAGCAGAAACAGAACTCTATGAGAACAAAGTGGCACAAATAAAAACACTCACATCCTGATCCATTTGTATATTTGCATCATCAAGTGTCTTTTCCAAGTCATTCATCAAAGCATGCTTCTGACGGCTAAAGTAATCCCATATATATACCTAATGCAAGAGGGGAAAAAGAGTTAAATCATAAAATAGCAAAATATTTTTAAAGAAAAAAATGAAAAGATAAGAATAAAAAATTGAGGAGTTCTTTACTTGCTTAGTTTTAAGATCAAATATCTCACAAGCTCTTCTGTGAAGTTCACCAATGGTTTCCTGCCAAAAGAAATTCAAGTACTTTAATATGCATAATTACACATGGATTTGAGATGTCAATAGTTATTTTCCAGGAAGGAGAAGGGAACACATTGATCAAACCTTTTTGCTTATTCTTATTGTAGACTGATCGCCTTTTGACATCAGATGCAATTGAAGCCGTAAGGGATAAACTTCTACAGACAATTCTGTTTGAGAAAGGCCGGAGTCAATTACCTTTCGAGCCAATACGGGACCACCTCCATACCTAAACCAAGCAAACAGAGATTTAACTCCTTATTAGTTTCTCCATCAATGTTCTTTATCTAGAGCACAACCTTGCAAAAGAGCAAAATTTACTACAAAATTATCTCAATGAAGCCTGAATTCATTACAGCTAAGAAAAAGTAATCATTTCTTCTCTTGGATTATACAAAGTAGAATCCAACTTTATCCGGAAGTTGCTTTAAACTATTAAAATCAAGTTGAGCTTCTGTAGGATATCCTTTAGTTTCAAATGTTCCAAAGCCTCTGTGATAGTTTTACAATGAAACAGCTTTACTTCAGTTTCAGCACAACATTAACGGACATGTTATCTGTCGTGCTCTAAACAGAAGGGTCAAATGGACATAATGCTGGAGTGACAGCCACTAGTAAAATTTCATGCCGCACAGGAAAAAAAAAACAAATAGCAGTAACTCATATCAATTATGTTTATAATTACGTAAACAAAACATAGATTAAGGGGTTGTTTGATAAAGCTAAGTTGATGATAATGTGTAGTTGAACATTTATAAAAGTTGTGGTCCATGAAATGTGTGTTAACGTTCAACTTTGACCAGATAATAAAATTTTTAGAAAATTTTTATCAAACAAGCACTAAATCACATTCAAGGTTCAAGCCAGAGGAAGGTTTATACAATATACTCATGATGCTTACCAATAATCTTTGTCTAATGAAGTCAAATTTTAGGTAAATACAAATAGTATAGCTTTCAGAATCTAAAGTTGGCGGCAATAGGCTTACTCAACTGGCCAGTATAAACTACTGGGCTATGCTCCAATGAACATGAGTCGTTCCTCCTTCATGTATATTAGAGTACAATGGTTGACACAAGTTAAAAATGTGGACAGGCTTATATGTCAAACCATCTAAACTCTTTTTAAAACTGTGTTTCTAGATATATATATCGACCGTCAACCTTAATATAAAACAGAAGGTGAAGTGTCCTAGAGAGAATATTTTATTTCTTCACATGTTACTATTGAACACCTCATCTAAAACCTTAAGATGTTGGAGAGAGAATTAATTCTTCAACTTCGCGCACCCACACATGTTGTACTGATAATTGGGTATCCATATGGCATGATCATACTCATGACCTTTGCCTACTACAATATCATGTTGAAGCACCTCACCTAAAAGTTTAGTATTTTATTTTTATTTTATTTTTTTGAGCAATAAAAGTTTTGTTACATCACCTGATGTTTCATATGCAATGAGGCTGTAGAGTATAAAATAGTTTGTCAATTATATTCTTCAGAATTTGGTGGTTAATGAGGGAAAAGGTATCACTTTGCTGGGAAGAGTGAGAAAGGAGGAAGGTGTCGGAAGATCAATCCTCTTTATGTTGTTTGGAAGGAACATAATAGGACAGTTTTAATGGAGGGAAATGCATTTTCCAAAATTGAAGTGTGTATAGGTTTCCTTTCGCTTTTCTGAAGTTAACGTCAATGTGTATTCATACCACACTAAACAAGATTTAACTAGTACGCATATCTTTTTCACATGCTTCTTGTATTCTGGTTCTTTCCCTTTCTAATTCGTGATCAGAAGAGGTTGTGCATCTTTCCCACAAGTGAGTAGGTAATTCACACACACCCCCACCCCCTCCCACCCACACAGAGTCTCGCAGCAAACTCATGCTTAACTTTCCTCATCAAGCAGAATTTTTTCAATGATTTAGATGACAGTACCAAACTTGGGATGCATTTTGTTTCAGAACTGCATAAGAAGACAACTTGACCACAAAAAGTCAGACATGACACTTATCATGGCCCGGAGGAAGTGAAAACTTTATACACTAACTTATTTGTTATAAAATAATTCGTTATGTACGATTATTTTAGCAACTTGGAGAAGATGTTTAATGAAAACCTGTTACTAAATTAAAAAAAAAAAAAAAGGAATGCCCTGGCATCAGTCCACATAATTTCAGTTCTACTCACCATGAATATAATTGATTCCAAACTCCTTCAGGAAGCAATATATAATCGGTGCCTTCAACTAAGGTATCTTGAAGCTCAATAGTCTTAGCAGAATCCTCAGATTCTGTCTCATAAATCAAATCTGAATTTTCAATGCTCCGAGGCCTCACCAATGCACTTGAGCCAACTGAATTGTGGTCAGAGAAAGATCCATCGTTCATCACGCTTGTTTGGCTTTGATTTACATATTTGAGCCAATCTTGCCACCATCTGTTAGCACCATTAATAAGTAAGTCTCAAAGAAAATAATGGTTCAATAGGTATTTTGACCCAAAATGAACAAATAAAAGGATTGAAAAAGCATCAAGGAACATGAAGCATGGGTAATGTGTTAATTAATTTCTGTTGTTTCTTCATAAATGAAACGTGTTCGTTATTTTGTTTTCTAGAATATATTTTATATGGAACAGTATCTTGTCACCTTAAATAATTACTTCACCGCAACCTTGACCAATCCTATTACAACAAAAATATTCAGGCCTTTTAGTGGGATGTTTAAAATCTTAGTTAATTTGTTTCTCAAAAACCAATTTTCAACTGGCCAATCCAAACACTGTTTCTTATTTTCCAATTTTTAAGTAGAAATTGTCTATATAATTGAAACTGAAATCAGTTTCTTTCACTGGTACAAAAGGTCGCAGTCAATGCCATAAATTTTGACTTCATCTTATGGGAAGCCAACAGGGGCAAGTAAATATAAAAAAATAATAATAATAAAGTTTTGGGGACCTACATTGATCCAGCTAATTTTATTTTTATTTTTTTGGTAGTTTCTATAGGGTTAACAAAACTCATCAAACTAAAATGACGAAGAACATAATGACGACAGAGTAAAAGCTGTTACTTTTCCTTTACGGATTCATCATATAAATATTATTTGACACAGAAAGTTATCATTTCCCATATCCTGATTTCATGAACATATTTCAAAGTGATACTTCCGGGAAGAGAAGAGAAAGAAGATAAAACTGCAAATTGTTAATCATCCCAATCTGTTAGAGAAGGGTCGCGTGTTTTCATTAAGATGTTGCCTTCAACAAGCCCCTTCACGAATTCATTTTTGATCAATGGTCTAACATGTGCAAAATTGTATATAGATAGATGGCTAGACTTGAATCCACGTGTTTTGCCTGATGTTAAACACCTCATTTAAAAGCCTAAGATGTTAGTAATAAAGAGTGGTCGCCTCTATTCATTTAAATATTATCTTCAACACAATCGAATTAATAAAAACTTCCCTATTTATATATGAACACGCCATACTCCAAACTGAAAAGTACTCTTGCAACATGTCAGTCATTGAGAAATAATTCAGAAGACAAGACGATTGAGCTTTCAAAAGGGCAATTACATTACTCTTGAAATAAATAAATACAATGGAAAAAACAATTTCCTACTAACGTTAAACCCTAACGCTCCCTAATCCATAGCAACCTCTGGTTGAAATTTTAACACGAACCAACAAAATTCCCCAAGAAAATTGAAAACAATTAACAAAAAAGAACATCGGAGATAGCGAAATAAAATTATATAGATCCAATTTATGAGAAAAAGGCTACCTTTGCGTAATCAGATAGAATGTGTCGCCGGCTTTGGTATGGGCTCCTGATGCCGTAGTAATTTCCCTGATGATTTGCTTTTCTTCCTCCGGGGTCAGCTGCACAGCCACACCCCCCGCCATTTTCACCTTTCTAAACCTACCTTTGTGAGATAAAATAGATTTAAAAAAAAAAAAAACAAAACTCACGCCTTTTGGTAAAAATTGAAGTTTAGGGTTTGAGTTTTTAGGGCAAGAGTTGAGATTTCATTCTAATGTCTGGTCACAATATGCTGGCTGTGTGAGTGAGGATGGAGGGTTTTGGGCGTTAAATACTGCCACTTCATTTTTGAAGTCAGCACTCAGCTTATTTGATGAATTTTCAGGCAATATTTTGTTTTGTTTTTTCAGAAGATGGATTGGGACCAAAATTCCACAAAAGACCCTCTCGCGGCCCAACGCTCTGCAACATGTTGGAGAGCTTTTAGATCCCGGTACCAACGAAATCGAGTGCTAACTCCCATTTCTTATCGAATTAACTGTCCCGAATCTACTTAAAGATAAGATCAGAGCAAGCACAGCGACGCAATTCTATTATATTTAGGTTTGGCTCTTCGAAATAATTTTTTTTTCAATTGAACTTAAGAGATCAAGAACGTGTTATAATTTAAGTTAATCAAACATATTTACTATCTACACATATCGGAAGACACGCGGCTTATAAACAAATAAAATCACGATTAAACGAGCATTCCCCATATATGGAGATCGTCGATTGTATTTAATTAAGATGAAAAAGTGTATTGGAGACATTTGTTTCTTGAATAAGAAGGGACACAGTTTTAATGAGTTACATTTATATCGATTTTCATTTGTCGTGCCACGTGTATTTCGAGGAAAAATTATAACTGAACATAACAGACCAATTTTATAATACAACCATTACGAGTGCAAACTTACTTTTCAAAAAATAAGTTTTACTTATGATTAAAATAGGTAACTTACTTAATTTTAATTTTCTCAAAATAAATCATTATATTCAAATATAGTTAAACTTAATATTTCTTATTTTGAAATACAAAAAATACAATAAAAAAAGAAGACATTGGATAAGAATAAAAGCTATTTTTTTCACTATTGTATTCTATTATTTTTTATTGTATGACATTCGATAATAATCATGACTAATTTTATTTTTTGCACTTTTGTATTTTATTTTATTTTTGCTTAATTCAAAATACTAGGATTAAATAATTTTTTTACATGTAGAAGGAGATCTTCATGGACAATATTTTTATTAGTTATTAATGAAATGTCAAAGATAAGAATGAAAAAAATGAGAATATTAGTGTGACAATGCACGGGTGTTGGATGTCTTTATCTATCATACTAGTCATAGTCACGTGCGTTGCACGAATTTGTATTTATTGTGTTTTCATTAGCGTAAAAATTGTAAATTTTCAAGAACTTGTTGAAGATAATCCGTTTTTGATTAGTTTTCTTAACTTAATATAAGCAATGATGTAATGATTTTCTTTTATCTTAGCTTGTAATTGTTTTAGGAGCTTAAATGAAAAGTTGATTGCTAATTGCTCGGCACGATTTAGCTAGTTATTTGTTTAGACTAAAGTTGTTCATGTTATGAACCTAAATACACAAGTTAAAAGATACGAGATGGCATTACTATTTGGTGGCACAAGGATAGTAAGTAATGAGATGTTTTGCATAAATAAAGAATTTGCGGGTAAAAAAGCAAAGAGAAGCAAGAAAATATAATGCATTGAAAATCTAGTATAATGAGTTAGTAAAAAGTAAAAACAACGTAAATAAGCGAAGTTGAGAACACCGTTAATTTCCTTAACCATGTCCGAGCCAAGCTAACAAATGTTTACTTTATATAAAAATGTTTTTTGCATTAGTGCGAAAAACTTAAAAATGAGAGGATGAGAGACAAGATCAGTTAAGTATTATTTACCAATATTTTCAATTCACATTACAAATTCATAGGATTATAATAGGAAATAAAAAAAGTTCTCCGATAAGAGTAATCTCTTGTAGAAAACAAACCTCAGGTTTTTATAATTTTTAGATTGAGATGGCGTGTCTATTTAATTTTCATAAATTTTACCAATTTTTGTTATCTCAGAACTTGTTTAAATACTTATTTTATAATTTATATTACTTTCGAGTAAAAATTTACTTTTCAAAAATAAGTTTTACTTATGATTAAAATAGGTCACTTATATTGGTTTAGATTAAAATCTCAAATTAAAGTCGACAATTAATTTTAACTACACATTTCATGGGACCCACAACTTTTTAACCACACATCTCATCAACTTTTATCAAAATCTACTAAAAATCTGATTTTAATATGTACCTAACACGGGTCAATCTTCAATTAAACTTAAGAGATCAAGAACGTGTTATAATTTAAGTTGATCAAACATATTTACTATCGACACATATCGGAAGACACGCGGCTTATAAACAAATAAAATCACGATTAAACGAGCATTCCCCATATATGGAGATCGTCGATTGTATTTATTTAAGATGAAAAAGTGTATTGGAGACATTTGTTTCTTGAATAAGAAGAGACACAGTTTTAATGAGTTACATTTATATCAACTTTCATTTGTCGTGCCACGTGTATTTCGAGGAAAAATAATAACTGAACATAATAGACAAATTTTTATAGTCCAACTATTACGAGTGCACAGAATAAAGATTATTTGGAAAAATTTAACTATATTTATTTTATATAAAAATATTTTTGCACTAGTTTGAAAAACTTAAAAATGAGAAGAGGAGAGACAAGATTAGTTAAGTACTATTTACCAATATTTTCAATTCATATTATAAATTCATAGGATTATAATAGGAAATAAAAAAAAATCTTCGATAGGAGTAATCTCTTGTAGAAAACAAACCTCATGCTTTTATAATTTTTAAAATGAGATGGAGTGTCTATTTAATTTTCATAAATTTTACCAATTTTTGTTATCTCAAAACTCATTTAAATACATATTTTGTAGTTTATATTACTTTTGAGTAAAAACTTACTTTCCAAAAATAAGTTTTACTTGTGGTTAAAATAGGTAACTTACTTAATTTTAATTTTCACAAAATAAATCATTATATTCAAATATAGTTAAACTTAATATTTCTTATTTGTAATANTAGTTAAACTTAATATTTCTTATTTGTAATACAAAAAATACAATAAAAAAATGACATTGGATAAGAATCAAAGCTATTTTTTTCACTATTGTATTCTTTTATTTTTTATTGTATGACATTCGATAATAATCATGACTAATTTGATTTTTTGCACTTTTGTATTTTATTTTTTTGTTTAATTCAAAATACTAGGATTAAATAATTCTTTTTACGTGTAGAAGGAAATCTTCATGGAAAATATTTTTATTAGTTATTAATGAAATGTCAAAGATAAGAATAAAAAAAATGAGAATATTAGTGTGACAATGCACGGGTATTGGACGCCTTTATCTGTAATACAAGTCATAGTCACGTGTGTTGCACGAATTTTGTATTTATTGTGTTTTTATTAATGTACAAAATGTAAATTTTCCCAAACTTGTTTTGATTAGTTTTCTTAACTAAATATAAGCAATAATGTAATGATTTTCTTTTATCTTAGCTTGTAAATATTTTAGGAGCTTAAATGAGAAGTTGATTGCTCATTGTTTTGCACAATTTTGCTAGTAATTTGTTTAGGTTAAAATTGAAATACAATACTTGGATTATGTGTTTTTAAAAGTTATGAGATGGCATTACTATTTGGTGGCACAAGGATAGTAAGTAATTAGATGTTTTGCATAAATAAAGAATTTGCAGGTAAAAAACGAAAAGAGAAGCAAGAAAACATAATGCATTGAAAATTTATTGTAACGAGTTAGTGAAAAGTAAAAATAATGTAAATATGCGAAGTTGAGAACACCTTCAATTTCCTTAACCATGCCCTAGCCAAGCTAGCAAATGTTTACTTTATATAAAAATATTTTTTGCATTAGTGCGAAAAGCTTAAAAATGAGAAGATGAGAGACAAGATCAGTTAAGTATTATTTACCAATATTTTCAACTCATATTATAAATTCATAGGATTATAATAGGAAATAAAAAACGTTCTCTTGTACGAGTAATCTCTTGTAGAAAACAAACCACGGGCTTTTGTAATTTTTAGAATGAGATGGCGTGACTATTTAATTTTCATAATTTTTACCAATTTTTGTTATCTCAAAACTTGTTTAAATACTTATTTTATAATTTATATTACTTTCGAGTAAAAATCTACTTTTCCAAAATAAGTAACTTACATTGGTTTAGATTAAAATCTCAAGTTAAATTTTAACTACACATTTCATGGGACCCACAACTTTTCAACTACACATCTCATCGACTTTTATCAAAATCGACTAAAAATTTGATTTTAATATGTACCAGACACGGGTCAATCTTCAATTAGACTTAATAGATCAAGAACGTGTTATAATTTAAGTTGATCAGTCATATTTACTATCTACACATATTGGAAGAAATGCGGCTCATAAACAAATAAAATCACGATTAAACGAGCTTTCCCCATATATGGAGATCGTCGGTTGTATTTATTTAAGATGAAAAACTGTATTGGAAACATTTGTTTCTTGAATAAGAAGGGACACAGTTTTAATGAGTTACTTTTTTATCGATTTTTATTTTTCGTGTTACGTGTAATTCGAGTAAAAATAATAACTGAACATAATAGACAAATTTTTATAATACAACTGTTACGAGTGCACAAAATAAAGATTATTTCATAAAAATTTAACTATATTTATTTCATATAAAAATATTTTTTGCATTAGTTTGAAAAACTTAAAAAAGAGAAGAGGAGAGATAATATCAGTTAAGTATTATTTACCAATATTTTCAATTCATATTATAAATTCATAGGATTATAATAGGAAAAAAAAAAGTTCTCTGATAAGAGTAATTTCTTGTAGAAAACAACCTCAAGCTTTTATAATTTTTAGAATGAGATGGTATGTCTATTTAATTTTCATAAATTTTACCAATTTTTGTTATCTCAAAACTTGTTTAAATACTTATTTTATAGTTTATATTACTTTCGAGTAAAA